CCCGGCACAGAGTGAGCCTTCCATGAGTGACTGCACGCGTGGCTCAACCACAGGATAGGGACCTGCCCTTGTCTTTCATTGCCGTGTGACTTTTCGGCAAGCTGCCTAGCTTCCAGGGCCTCAATTCCACCTTCTGTGAAACGAGAACACGTAATGTCCATCTCCAGGGGATCATGAGGCTGGGTCTGTGTGTCTCCCACTAGGGCCCGTGTGTCATAGGCATCCAAGAGGCGGTGCTGGGACTTAGTGTCAGACCGACCACTTGACGCAGGAGCTGAGCCAGTTTAGGGCAGAGGTGGATGTGGCTCCCTTCTCAGACCTCGCCACAGTGGGCCGTGCGGTGGCGGGCCTTGCTCCTATCCTTGCTGTCCCTGTCACTCTCTGGGCATTGAGCTTGTCCAGGTTCAATCTCATGACAGAAGCCACCAGCTGGGGCTACTACCTTCATTTGTCCCCATTTGGCAAGTCCAGGGAAGGACTCAGATTGGCTAACTTCTGTCATATGCATGCTCCAGACCCAGGTTCCTCGGGCAGGTGTGGTGGGAACTGTAATTTGTAGAAGGGAAAGTGATTTCCTCCCCAAATGCAGGACCCCCCTACAAATACCTTCATGAGGATGTGTCTCCCCAGCTCCAGGCCTGAGCAGGGCTTAGCACCTGTTTGTGGAATGAATGAGGGCTATACGAATCAGCCTGGACGCAGGGCAGGGGGCAAGCTGCAGTGTTCAGGGTGGAGGGAGGCCTGGCCTCCTCCCGGCGTTTCTCACTCCCTTTCCCATCCCCACTTCTCACTGCCCCAGACCTCGGAGTCCAGATGCTCTGCTTCCTGACCCAGTGCAAACCCCAGTGCTTTTCCCCCTTCCTGACGACGATTTTGTGATTGAGAATTTCATTGCATCACTTGCTGATTGTTCCCTACTGTGATGTATTTCAGTTACCACTGACTTCATGGGAGCATCCATTGCACGTGGCACTGTGTCAGGCTTCTGAGTGCTGGGACATAGCTGCTTAGAGGCCTCCTGTCTACCTGGGCTCCTGGCCCCACTCCTGTGCTTGGCACACATCACTACTGCCTGCCACCTGTGGGACTTGCAGCCAAGAGACCAGCTCACGTCCCAGGGCCGTTTCCTGCTGGTCTGAGGCCTTTGCAGGGGCCTTGCTTCTCTGAGCCTTGTTTTCTCATCTGTAAAGTGGGCCTGTGGGGATGAGGAGAGATGAGGCAAAGGAAAGGACTTCGCAGATTGTCACCGAACTTCACTTGGGACAAATGCCATCAACATCTGTGCCCCTGAAGTCCATTTATTTTCCAAGCTGGTGTCCTTGAACCAGCCGAAATCTCTGACCCTGCTGGGGTGGGGGCCACCCAGGGCTCCGCAGAAAACCCACTGTGGCAGTTTCTTAGCTCCACCCTCTGCGGGTCTGATTTCTCAACACAGGCCCTGTGGGTGTCGGCCCCTTCCCTTTTTAGGTCATTTTATTGGGAAGAATGGCAGGCGTGCGCCATGCTTTTATGTTTCTTTTTCCAAACACTTTCTTCCAAAGAACATTCTTAAAGACTGACTTTGATCCTCAGCAAGGTGTCAGGGAGTTCACCGTTTGCAGTTTTAAAATAAGAAAGCTAAATTTAGAAAATGTGGAGCAGGAATAGAAAAGAAGTGTGGTCTCTTCCCTCCACCCGCCTTCCGAGGGCTGAGTGCTCACCTTCGTCCTCATCTAGAAAATCCGAGATGCCAGATCCGAAGCCGTCGTGGAGAAAAACAGCTTCACCTCCAGGTGCCATGCAGGCTGTATGTGCTGGCTGCACTGCAGTGCCGGGGTGGCCCTGACTTTTCTGAGTGGAGCTGATGCTCGCAGCTCCTGACAGGGTGTCCGTGATCCCCACTGTCCAGCAGAGGAAACTGCTGCCCTGGGGCAGGGAGCTATGCCTAGGGCCCCAAGCCTGTGCTCTTTTTTGCGCTTGAGATTCCTTCCAAAATGGCCTCCCTTGGGCTCCACCTCCACCTCACTGAGGCTCTCTGTACAGTGGGAGACCCAGCTGCCTAGAGGGTCCCTGGAAATTGCACTGATGAATGTCCTCAGGCTCCAGAAAGGGAAACTGGCCAGGAGGCCCCGGGTCTTGCCCAAGGTGACACTCAAATGATGGCAGAGCCCAACCCTGCGCTGCTCTGCTGAGAGTTGAGGAGAAACATACATGGACGTGTGGGCAGGTGGTGGATGCCAAGACAGGGCCTCCCTGAAGGCAGGGCAGGATCTCAGTGCAGGGAGAGGGCACGGGTGGAGGAGGGAACCCCGTGCCATGGCCAGCTGTCTGGGTAGATGGGGACTGTTCAGGACTTCCTGTCCAACTGTGGGGACAGTCCAAGTGTAGAATGTTGAAGGGCAGATCCAGAGAGAAGCTGCCAGCTCCAGAGCTCAGCCCCTTGGGAGCTCCATGGGAGCACTGAACAGTTTCTGGAATTCTTCAGCTGTCACAGATGTGTGCCTCTTCACGACTGTTTCATTTGCCAGAAATACCTGTTGAACTCCTATTCATCCTTCAACACCCAGTGTGGGCCTCTCCTCTGAGCCCTTTCAGCAGTGAGGGCCCTTCCTTCTCAGATGCCCACAGGCCCTGTGTTCTGGAAGCCCTGAACTGAGAGTTACACTGTCTGCCTTCGTCTTCCACCTCTGAGTTCCTTGTGGGCAGAGCCAGGTCCCCGAGGCCAGCATGAGGCTGTCAGCTGACACCAGCACCAGGGAGAGGAGGGTAGCACCGAGCCCGAGCCCAGGGGATCCTGGGAGAGAAGAGTCATGCGTCAGAGCCACAGGTGTTCCTGTCTCAGAGCCCTGCTGAGCCAGCTTTGAGCCGTGAGAATTAGGGGTGGTAAACCATGGCCCCCAGCCTCAGCACCACAAGGAGCAGTGTTCTGAGTGCCATGCCCAGCAGGCAGGCCCCCACCCAGAGGGCGTCAGCCTGACCCTGCTGCAGTGAGCTGCATAGACCCTTACCTTCCTCTTCTCTGCTGGGCCTGCAGGCTCCCTGGCTCTGCAGCCAAAGTCATCTACCCAGTCCTAGGCAGGGGCCTAATGGTCCTGGCTGCTCTGGGAACAGAACACCTTTGAGGCCCAGCTGTGGCAGGCTTTGCAGCCCCGGCAGGACAGCCCTGTGAGGAGCAGAGGCTCTGAGGTGGCAGTGTGGGAGCCAGCACCCTGAATCTGCCCCTCAGATCAGGGCTAAGGCTGCTGCCCAGCGCAGGTGCGTCCGATTTGGTAACCCCCAAGAGTCAGAGCTGGGCAGGCTTTTGTTACTTAGATGTGAGAGCTGAGGCACCCCCCTCTTGCTGGCCTCAGCCTTCCCGTGTCTAGGCAACAGGTCTCACAGCTGACATTGGGGTGGCTGAGGCTTGAGTTCCCCTCTGCGAGTGCCTCTGCCCACCAGGTGACAGGTTATTTCTCTCTCCCACCCTCCCGGCTGCCCTCAGCTCAGTGAGGGATGCAGCCCCTGTTCTGTCTGCCCACAGGCCCCCCCCAGAGAGGAGACCGGAATCCCAAACCTCTCCAAGCTTCCTCCGGCTCAGGGAGACTGCTTCCTGGGGCGGCAGATATGGCTGAAGAGGACACAGCCAGGCTGGCTCTGGCTTCTTCCGCAGCGGAAGGGGAAGGGCAAGCGTGCAGGAAGCTATGGCTGATGCGCGCTCTCCTTGGAGTTGTCTGATCAGTGGCGGCCCCACGCTGGAGCTACACAAAGCCAGGTGTGCCAGGGAACCTCCAGGCATGAACCCTGAGGTGAGGTGTTCCCTACTGGGACATGCCCCAGGCACCTACAGGGACAGCCATAAAGGTCCCCTTGGGGAGGAGCCTCCATCCTCGGCCTTGAACCCACACATGCACATCTTCAAGGGCAGGGGTGAGCATGTGTCAGATCAGCCGGTGTCCAGAGAAACAGGGCCACCGAAGCAGGAGCCCCGGGAAGGCCTGCACAGACCACCGTCTAGTCCAGACCAGCTTGTGAAACTGGCTGCTCACCGTGTTGATAGAAATGAGACGAGCTAGAAGATACTCCAGGGAATGGGTAGCTACGAAAGTGGCACTGTGGATTTGTAAAACACCCAGATAGAGCCTTAAGACATGGAAAACATGAACAACTGAAATGAAAAACTGTGTCTGTGTGTGGTAGCCGAGCAGACACAGGAGGGACTTAGTGAACTGGAAGAAAGGTGCGTGGTGCGGGCGGAGCGCAGCAGCCGTGGAGGGTGTGGTATGGGCAGAAAGGGCCCGCTGCAGGCCTGAGGTGGCACAGGGCACGGTAGCGGGGTGACGGGGCCGCCACAGGCTCGAGGTAGCACAGGTCTGGGCAACAGACCTGGAGGAGAAAACAGAACGGGCAGAGAAATGTTTTAAAAAAATAATAGTTGAGAATTTTTCAGAACTGGTGAGGTACACCAATCCACACGTGTCAGACTCCCTGAGAATCCTAAGAAGATTCCTAAGAAGGAACGCCACACCCAGACACAGCCCAGGGAAACCGCAAAGCCAGAGTCAAAGAGAAAAATCTTAAAGAGCTGGGGAAGAGAAAGCAATTTTTCTTTCCAACCAAAGGAACGCCTCCCAGCCTGGCAGCCAGTTCCCAAATACCAACAGGAAGCCAGGGCAGAGCGGCAGCTCCCATGTGCCAAGGAGCAGCCGCTGGCCGACATTCTGTCCGCAGCCTGAGTACCTCTCAAGGAGAAGCAAAGTCTGAGACGTGAGGATTAGAGGCCAGGAAATCCGTGGGGCAGCGCACAGGGGCAGGAGATGAGAGGAAAGAGAGTCGTGTCCAGTGGGCTGGGAAAGGCCGGGGAATCCGCACCTTAGACAGGAACTTGGATACTGGGGTGGGGATGGGTGGATATGGGGATGGGGTGTGAAGTGGGGTTAAGGGGCTCAACTTGGCTGCAGAGAGCAAGGCTGAGGGCGGGGACACCAGGGACTCCAAGTTCCCAAGACCAAAAGGCAGGAGGAGGAGAAATAGCCCAATCTGGATTCTTTCCACCAGTGTCTTTTATTAATGAATGCAAAATACAATAGTAACTGACAGGGCATGCATCAGAGACGACAGGAACGCAAGCTACAGAAACTGGGAGTGGAGGGCCTCATCATGTCTGAGGTAGAGTAAGACGGTGTCAGGGATGGACGTGGGGGCGGGACTGAGCACCAGCCGCACTGGGGCATCATCCCCGCCCACCCGGGACTACGGGCCGTGGGGGGGCTCAGGGCGTTGTGGTGGCCACACTGCAAGAAATGGATTTTTAAAACACTTCATAGCCCCAAATTCGTTTCAGCTCCCTCTTCGTGGACACAACTTCTGAGTTCCCTTGTCACCGGCTTGTGGGGGTGGTCTCCCCACTTGCAGAGTCCAGTCTCCATGGGACACGGTCCTTCCCTTCCCTTCCAAGGGGCAGGCCCCACGCACCCTCACCCAAAAATAAAGGAGCTTTGTGTTGAAAACGCCAAGGCAGCCGTCCAGGGAGCTGGAGGCCAAGTGCGTTAAGAAAGACCCTTTTTCTCTATAAAAATAGTTTCGCTTTATAAAAGGGGGGATGCCCCTCTCAGATGGGGGAAGGACGAGTGTGAAAAACGTTTTAAGTGGAGTTCCACGGGGCGGGGCTGGTGGACACCGCAGTGCGGGGGGATCCTCCTCTTGGGCCTATGGGGTTGGGGAGGAGAGGAGGTACGGGGAGGAACAGACGCCTGGTTGTTGGCGGGGGCGGGGGAACAGCAAGGGCTGGGGGCTGAGGCTGGCCCCTTGGGGCGCCATGGGCTGGCGGGGAGAGGCCCACAGCCAGGCCTGCACGTGGTGCTCAGTTGAGCAAGGTTCCGTAGAGCTGGGCCTTGGTGAGGCTGTCCTTGCGGCTCAGCCCCGAGCTACCAGTCCTCGGGAAGGCCTGCTGGGGGCTGAGGCGGGCGGCGGGGTGCATTTCCGGGGAGGCCTCCATGGAGCTTGGCTCCAAGGAGTCCCTGGAGCCCGGCTCGGGCTCAGGGCTGCTGGTGGCCCCACACAGCTGCACCCCGAGCCTGTCCCCATCGCCCCCCTCACTGGGTGTGTAGCCGGGCAGTGGGTCAGCCGAGCGGCCGGGGCTGAGGCTCAGGTCCCCACCCGCGTGCAGGAAGCAGGGCTCTGCCAGGTGGCCCTGGGAGAGGTCATCCCCCTCGGAGAAGCTGTCGGCCTTGTAGCTGGCATAGAGTGGGCTGGTGCGGCCGTCGGCCTTCTTGCCCGGGCTGCCCCCGGCCCCACCGTAGTAGCGTTCAGAGAAGCTGCAGGGTGAGGCACGGCCAGCGGCACTAACCGGGTAGGAGTAGGCGCCGATGTCCTCCACGCTCAGGGGCCGCCACTGGCCCCGCATGTCCTCCCCGGAGAGCCGGGCAGTCCCCGGCTTGGCCCTTAGGCTCCACAGGTTTGGGGGCATCAGGGCCTGCTGGGGACCCGGAGAGGTCGGGAATCGGAAGGTCTCGGCTGGGTACGGTGACATGGTCCGCCCAAAGCCTGGGGCCACCTCGGCCTCCAGCGGGGCTGCCACCACGGCCGTGGCCTTGGCAAAGCGAGGGCTGCCCTCGTAGGTGGCGGAGGGCGGCTTGCGGTCGAAGAGCTCATCGCGGCTGTTCAGGTAGATGGCCTGCTGGGACGCGGTCAGCGTGCTGGCCTGCGTGTGCTCCTTCTCCTCCGACGTGGCGCTGAAGCTGGAGTAGGAGCTGGATGTGGGCAGCGAGCCCGCATAGCCAGGGAAGGCCTCGTGCGGGAAGGCCGCCGGGAAGGCCGCCGCCTCGGCCTCTTCCTCCTCCTCAGCCGCGCTGTCGGTGGAGTTCTGGGCCCGCAGGAAGCCCACGTCGGTCACGGGCGCGTCCACACTGGGCTGCCGGTCGTGCCGCCGCTCCTCTGGGCAGTAGAGGGCCGTGTCGCTGCAGTAGATGTCTCCCTTGTAGGGGGGCCGCGGGCCTGGCTTCTCCACCCCGTCGCAGAAGGCCAGGTCTCGGGCCGAGGCATCGGACAGGTGGGAGGACAGGCTGGCAGGGTCAGGCTTCTCTAGCACCTTGGCGATGACGCAGGTGGGGACGCTGTCGGCATAGGCCGGGTGGCAGACAGAGGAGGGCAGGCTGCAGCCGTGCTTCTCCATGTGCAGGCTCACACGCTCCTGGAAGTCCGAGGGCAGCTGGAGCAGGCGCAAGGAGTAGGGGGCGGGGACAGGGTCACTGTCAGCATGGTGGCCCAGTCCTGGCTCTGAAGCTGGGGACTGACGTTAGCCATGACCGACAGGCAGGCAGACGCACAGGGCCTCCCAGCTTCTCAAATCACACCGGGGGGAGCCGGGATCCAGAAGGCTGAACTGAACAAGCTCCCAGGGGTGTGGGTGCTGTGATGGCCTGGGGATCCCGGGTCACTTCCTCCCTCCCTACTCTGGGCCCAGGAGAGCCCAGAAGCTGAAGTCACCTGGAGAAGCTGGAACCTGGGTCTGATTCAGGCCACGCTCAAGGCTGCACACACCCCTACCCCCACCCATTTTGTGCCCAGAGAGGGGCTGACTTGCTCTCTGAGGTGCATGGGTTCTATGGAAGCAGGGGAACAAGACCCCCCCACCCCTCATCCTGCCTGAGCACTCCTGAAGAGGACAGACTCAAACAGATGCAACAAAGATTGAGGGCCAGGGCTGAGACTGCCTGGTGCCATGTGGGGGTGTCCCGCTACTGTTTGATCTATTTTCTAAGTGTCTCAGGTATGGCCCAGGACCAGGGGAAGGCACATAGGAGACTGCATGTGAGGGCGGGCAGGGGGCGCAGGGTGTGTGGCCATAGGTGGGCGGGGGTGGGCTGCTGGCCCATCTGCCTTTGGCATCAGACAGCCTGGTTCTGGGTCCTGGCTCTGCTACCTGCCTGCCGTGTGGCCTCGGCCACGCCATCTTTCCGGAAGTGTTTTCTTTCTGAGATGGGCACTGTCAGTAACCGTGCCCAGACACGAGGCTCCTGCGAGGCTCACACGAGGTCACTGTACCATGTCAGTGCTCAGAGGGAGCAAGGGACCTGGACAGCCCCCAAAGGAAACTGAGGGTGACGGGCAGCCAGGGTGGGCCAAGGGGGCTCTGGTGAGGGCCAGGGGCTGCCCGTCTGGGTGAGGTGGGTGCGTTTGGCGCCCCTCCACCACAGGAGCAAGGGGGACAGAGGAGGCTCGGGTTTAGCCAGCATCCTCCTCCTCCAGGATGGGAAGTGGCCTTGGGGTAAGACCAACACACAAGGAGGCCAGGGGTCCTGGGACGGGACGGCCTGGCTGTGGGGCCACGTTACCTCAGACACCTTGTGGACCCTGCCGTAGGTCTGGCTGCACTGCAGCAGCTGGGCCGCTAGATTGCAGTCCTTCCTATAGAGCTCCTAAAAGACAAGAGAAGGCGTTCGGCGCCCCTCCCCCCACTGGCTCTGGCCCTGTCTGGGCGCCATGCTCTTGCCTGCAAAACAAGGGCCTCATTCTGACCTGGGCTGCCAGAGCATCGAGGGCCCTGCCACTGCCCTAGCTGGTGCCCTCGGGGCCGTGCTAAGATAGGAACCCCCATAAGGTCGGGGGCAGTGGTAGGAGGAGGAGCCCCAATGGCCCTGAGCTCCTGGAGGCCCCCCCCCAGGCTCACAGAACAGGCCTGGTCTCCTTGTCCCTCGGGCTCCCAGAGTCCTTCCAAAGATGACTGGGTGGAAGTGCCAGGCAGGAATGGGTGGCAGGATGAGCCCCCAGCACCTCCCATCCTGCACCTCAGACTTGCTGCTCACACCCGCCTTCCCAGAGTGTGGTCTGGGAACAGGGTGGCTGGAGGGCTGGGCAGGGACCAGACAGGTGTGTGACCGCAGGCCCAGGCGGGCGCTGGCTCTGAAAACAGATGCCAACAGTAGATTTTCACCACTGAAAATCTCTGTTGCATGTGCCTGTGTTTGGGGCTTGCATGCCTGCCCCTCGGGGGTCCCCACTGCGAGGGCTCTGACGGCTAGCCCTGGGGCGACCCCGAAGCCCTGTGACCCACCCAAGCTGCCCCATGGCTGCTCCTGGCGAGGGCTGGCCAGTGTCCCAGCCCAACCAGCACTGCTGCCCAGGCAAGGCTGTCTCTGACACAGCACCTTTCTGTTCCCCCACCATGGCCCTGGAGCCTCCTTCACTGAGGCTGGTTCCCCCAACTTGGCCTACACGGTGGAGGGAATCGGAGTGGCCAAGCCCCTCTCAATGCCTCCCTGGGCCTCCTTGGAAGAGAACAGCACAGCTGCCTGAGCTGAGACCCGGCCCCTTTTGTAACCCCAGTCGACTGGCTGCCCCTGGGCACCAGAAGGGCTGCAGACACTGCCCAGCAAGCCCAGGTCTCCCACTGAGCCCCAACAGCCACAGCCAGGAGCAGATGCCACTGGGAAGCCCGTGCTGTGCCCACAGCCCCTGGGGCACCTGACTGGGCACCCAAGCGCCTGGGCTGTCCATGTGTGCGGTGGCTGGCTCTGGAACAGCTGGGAGCCTTTCCTGAGCAGCCACAACTGCTGGCCCAGGGAGGAAATGCTCACGGGACGCTCTGGCAGAGCCAGCAGGTGGAGGCAGGCGCTCTGGCTGCCCAGGGCCCTGGGCTGCTGGAGTCGGAGTCCCGAGCTTGAGTTCTGGCTCCATCTGTGAGCGACCACATGGATTACCTGGGAAGCCACTGAAGCTGGCTGTGCCTTAGTTTCCTCAGGTGCTCCGTCCCTGCAGAGGTCCCCGGGACTGGTGCCCACTTACGTAAGGGGTCTAGCCTTGTCACGTTAAGAAACACCTCTTGTCCTGAGCCCACGTCATCCTGTCCCCTCCTGTTAGAGCCACACTCCGCAGAAGGGCGGCCTGTGCCTGGGACCACCGCTGCACTCCACCACGGACCTCCAGGTCTCCAAATCCCAGCGCCTCTTCTTGGCCCTCTGACCTGATATCTCAGCAGCTGGTGAGCCAGCCGGCCAGGGCGCCGATGGCAGCCCCCTCCTCAAGTGGCCGTCGGGCCACCACACTCGCCTGGTGTCCCCCAGCCTGCTGGCCACTCCCCCCCAGGCATCCTTGCTGGGCCTCCCTGCTTCTCATCAGCAGGCTGCCTCCGTGGTCTCCACGGGCGCGCCAGTCTTCACCCTCAGCTCCAGGCCTGGGCCTCCCGCTACCCTGGTAACATCTCCGCTCGAAGGGCTCCTGTGCATCTCCTACCCAGCTCCTGCCCCTCCCTTGCTGTCCCCAGCCAGGAATGGCCGGCAACGCCTTGTGTTTGGGCTCTGAACCTTGTAGCTGGGTTGGACTCAGTTCTTCTGGCAACCCACATCTCAAGTCTTGGTCAGTCCTATTGATTCTATTTCCAAAAGAACCAGAATTGCAGCTCTCTGCCCCATTCCACCACCACCATCGCCTGAGCCACCATCGGCCTTTGTACTAAGGCCCTGGCTGCCTCCTGATCTTCCCGCTCTTGCTCTCATTCCCATAGCCTGTTCCCAGCATGGCAGCCATGTGGGCCCTGGCAAGCTGTACGTGTGATCACGTTGCTCCTCTGTGTAGGAACCGTCTATGGCTCTCGACTACACTCAGAATGAAGCTCAGATCTCTGAGAGGAGCCTGTATAACATCGCCTCCTATCGTCTTTCTGACCCTGGCCGCCCCTCCCACTGGGCGCTCTCTGGCCTCTTTGGGGTCCTGCAAGTTATCCGGGTACAGCTGCACACCGTGGTTGCTTCGGCCTGGAAGCAACGCTCTTCCCACAGATGTCTGCGTGGTGGCCCCTTCACTCCCTCAGGTCCTGGCCCAGCAGCCCCTTCCAGAAGCACCCTCTTGAAATCTGCAGGCCCTGCAGCTGGCGACTCCCTGGTGCTGTTCCTCGCTCTCTGTTTCTATACAGCATTTCACACTTCTAACACACTCTAGAGTTTGCCCCACTCAGATGTGAACTCCACGTGGGCAGAGGTTTCTTTTTGTGTGTGTGTGTTTTGCCTGTGTTGTTCACACCATAATCTTGGAGCCTAGTAGGGTCTGGCAAGGAGCAGGAGCTGATTCGCGACAACGTGTAGGCAGCTGTCCCGGGCCTGCGGGGGCAATTGGGCCCATCTCACAAGGTCCCTGAAATTAGGCCCCCCTGGGCAGCCACATACACGGCTGTGATGTGACACTGGGACTGGCCAAGGGCGGGAGTCCTGGGTGGCCATGACCCTGCCTTGGGGTCAGGAAGCCTTGCCTTGAATGGGATGATATGGCTCCCCCTCCTCTAGCTTGTCCTTACAGCAGAGGGTCTGTTTAGGGACACCCCTGGCATCCTCAGAGAGGCAGCTCATCCTTCCCCAACTGCACCAGGTCCTTCTCAAAGCCCTGACCGGCCCGTCCATCCACCCGTACCCTGCACCAGCCCCTTGAGGCTGGGGCCAAAGCAGCTGGACTCAGGCCCCTTAGGAGTCAGCATGTGACTCCCGGCGCGTCCTGGGAAGCCCTCGCCTGGGCCCGCCGGTAGCCCTCAGTGGGCCGAGCGTGTGTGGCACTCACGTTGTCCTCCGACAGCTTGTCGATGGTCACCTTGGCTTCCAGCAGGTGGCTGTTGAGGGCAACAATCTCGTGGCTCAGTGCACGCTTCTCCTCCTCATAGTGCTGGCCCTGCGGGTGGGACGGTGGGAGGAGGAGGTCTCTGGTCAGCTCCTTGTCCCGTCACTTAGCTGCAGCACCCCCATGTTGCCCCTTGCAGCCATGAATGACAAGACACTTGGAGGGCCAAGGGTGCGGGGCTTACGAGCACAGACAGACCCTGGTTCAATGCCTGGGTCTGACACTGCCCAGCCAGACAGCCTTGGGCATGTCACTGCCTCCCCGAGCCTGCTTTTCATGTGCAACACAGAAGTGACAGTGTCCTGCCTCAGAAGCTGGGAGTGGGGACTCAGGACGGATGACTTGTGCCTGTCACAGAGCCCAGCCCATCTCACTGGAAAGACTGGGAAACTGAGGCTCAGAAAGGAAAGGGCCCGTGTCCAGGGACCCAGGCAGAGCCAGGTTCAGCCCCCAGGCCTGCCACCTCCCCAAAGGCAGCCAGGTTGTTGCTTTCGAAAACAAAACGAGCTGGTCACTGAACTAGAAAGAAGGGAAACCTCTTCATTCTAGTGATGGAGTGGCTCCAGAAGTCCTCACCCTGTCCCTCTTGGACATGTGTCCCAACAGTGCAGTCACAGAGAAAATGGCAACCCCACTGAAATCATCGGGGTCCCCATGAGAGGCACAATTGGGGCTGGAACCTGTCTCTGGCTCACTCAGAGCCTGAATTTGGGCCTCCCTCTCCTCCTGGGCCCGGGTCCCTGGAATGGCGGGCTGAGCTGGAGGGCCTGTTCCCAGCGTATGCCCTCCGTCCACAGCCCCTCTTACATGCCCCGAGGCTGGAGTGCTCAAATCTGCCACTCAGGCAGCACAGGGTAACCCTGGACCCTAGTACTTCCTTAGCCTTAGAGCACCCACCCCACCCTGCACGTTCTGTGGAGAAAGGGGTGGGACCAGCAAGACCTGTGTCCCAGCTCCTGAGCGGCCCAGGGGTGTCCGCTGGGTGGCTCTCCCAGGGAAGGAGGTGTGGGTTGGGGAGTGGGTGCTGTGTGGCGGCCTTACCATGCGGTACAGCTTGTCCTCCAGCTCCTGGTTGATCCTCTGCAGTGCCATGTAGTTGCTCTGAATCCTGGAGCAGGAGGCAATGGGGTCACTGGGGTACCAGGCCTGGCACTCCCACGACCCTCACGGCCGCACAGCCTGCTGAGCAGGGTGGGGCTGAACTGGGACCTCTGGAGCTCACCCCACCAGCCTCACCCTGGTGGAATGGAATGTGTGCCCCTCTGCGCAGGGCCGAAAACATCCCATTAAAGCAAACTTGTAGAGGCCTATCCTAGGCCAGGGTCCAGGACCATTTTCCCCCTTCGCCCTGGGAGCCCCTGAAGATGAGAAGCAAAGGCTTGTTATTCACAAGAGACTGTCCCATCTGCACGCAGAGCCAGTTTACTCACATTTGACCCACAATTCTTACAAACCTGTCATGGGGCTGACAGTTTGAATGCGAATGAGCCGGGAAGAGACTTAACTATGTGAGGGGTCCGGGGTGGGGCTGGAGCATCACAGTGAACAAGACACGGTTCTGCCGGGAAGCGTGAGTGGAGCCGAGTGCCAGATGGGAATCAGGTGCTTGGAGCGGCCATTGCTGGTGGGAGGGGCTTGGGGGTGGCGTCCACTCAGACAACCTATGTGTCCTGTGATGGCCCCGTCTTGCCAATGGGGAAACCGAAGTGAAACTTTAATTACTTAACAAACACAGTAACTGGCAGGGCCCAGACTTGAACTGAGGTCTGACTGCACTGCCCAAGCTTGGCTTCTACAGGAATGGAGAGTGACATTCAGAACACTCAGGAGGGCGGGGCTGTTCGGAGAGGACAAGCCCTCCACCCGCAATAAATCCTCCCTGGGCGGCACCAGTGGATACTCTACAAATACCGAAAACAAATCAAGCCAACAGCAAAATGTGCATGCTCCTTGCACGTTCTGTTTAAGAAGATGGGAAAGTGTATATGACATTTTAGAATATCCATCCTAAATGTGCACAAAAAAAGCTTTTAGAAAACTTTTGTAGCCGGCGCGGTGGCTCAAGCCTGTAATCCCAGCACTTTGGGAGGCCGAGGCGGGTGGATCACAAGGTCAAGAGATCGAGACCATCTTGGTCAACAAGGTGAAACCCCGTCTCTACTAAAAATACAAAAAATTAGCTGGGCATGGTGGCGCGTGCCTGTAATCCCAGCTACTCAGGAGGCTGAGACAGGAGAATCGCCTGAACCCAGGAGGCGGAGGTTGCGGTGAGCCGAGATCGCGCCATTGCACTCCAGCCTGGGTAACAAGAGCGAAACTCCATCTCAAAAAAAAAAAAAAAAAGAAAACTTTTGTATTTGAAGGAGTCTGGCAGGTGTGGCTAGACCGTCTCTTCATTGGCCTGCAGGCACTCAAGGGAAGGGTCCCTAAACCGGTTCCTCTCCTGGCTAGACACAGCTTTCCCCATCAGGGCTCAGGGGATCATGGCTGGGACCCGGGTGGATCAGTCTGGGTCTGGAGATCTGCCGGGTTCAAATCCTGGCTCCGCTGCTCCAAAGTAGGAGGAAGAGCTTCCCCATCCAGAACCTCTGGACTCCCCATCTGCGTGGGGTCAACAGCCGGCCTGAGAGAGGAGCACCACGTGCTGCTTCCCGGCCCCACGCTCGCTCCGCTTTCCTGGTCCCACGCTGGCGCTCCGCGACCCGCCCCCTGCCCCCTCGCCCCCCGCCCCCTCGCCCCGCCCCTCACCTGCGCAGCTTCTCCGTGACCTTCTCCAGCTCCTCCTGCGCGCGCCGCAGCTCGATCTCCAGGTAGTGGCGCGTGGAGTCGAACTCGGTCTCGAGCTTCTCGAGCTTGTGTGTGGTGTAGGACAGCCGCTTGCGCAGCTCGCCCTTCTGCTCCTGCAGCGCGCTGCAACGACACGGCGGCGGCGGACCGGGCCGCTGCGCTGAGCGGGGGAAACTGAGGCCCGCGAGCCCGCCCGGGCACGCCGCACTAACACGCGGGTACCCGCACGCGCGCGTACACACACACACACACACACACACACACACACACACCCTCCTAGGCAACTGGAGACCCGAGTCAGACCCTCCGACCCCGAGCCAGTCTGGTCCTGGCCGTTCCTCAGACTCCACCAGTGCCGCCCTCACAGATAAATTCCAGGTGCTCGCTGAAGGAGTGGTTGACCCCAGAACTTGGCCAGTGTGTTGGGGGTGGTTTAAAGGACCAAGGCATAAAGAGCGCCCATCAGCACCCAGGCTGTCCGTCACAGAGCTGGACCCTGGTGGCACAGGGGCCCTCACTCCTGCTCCTCTACAGTGCTAGGGTGGGATCGCTGAGGCCCAGAGTCGTCCGTACCACACCCAAGACCAGACCTGCCTTTCCCCAACTAGCTGTGTGGCTCTGGCACTCTGAGGGTTGGTGACAATGCCCCATGCCCAGGCAGTGTCCATCACCATGGCCAGGGAGGCTGCACGCAGCACGGGAAACGTGGCAAGGCCCAGGCTCGCTCACGTTCCCCTTCCTTCAGGAAGCCTTCCAGAGGCCCAGACAGCTCTTGAGGCTCTGTTGTCTTCCCCCAGAATGGGAGCTCCTGGAGGTGGGACCCCAGGCTGTAGAGCCACACATGCTCAGGAAACAGACCCACCCTCTCCAACTGCCTGCGACAATTCACCTGAGCTAAAGCTGTGCAAAGCAGGAGGCTGGTGTGGGGGCCTCCAGCAGGGGCGGTGGGGAGCTCCCCAGGGCAGGGGCCACGCTTCCAGTTGGCTGGGGCAGGCAGAGCTGGCCGATCTTTCCTCCCTGTGAGTGCACAGCCCAGGGACTGTCTGGGGCCAACAGCTTTGGATGGTGTTGCTGTGAGATGGGGCAGGACAGAAGCCCCAGGTGTCACGCAGGAAACTGAGGTATGGAAGGGCCTGGAACCCTGACTCTGCCTGCATGTGCTGTGGGACCCTGGGCAAGAGCCCACGTTCTTGTGACCTTCCCGACCTTCCCGACCCAAACCCAAGTGCGGGGAGCAGAGGGCAGGCAGGAGGTTTCCTACCAGACCCACTAGGGACTGTCCCCCAGCCCCGAGCAGAGGCATCTTCTGTCTGGGCCCTGTGAGTAAACCCATGTGACGTCACAGGCACACACCAAGTAAGCCTCCAGCAAGCAGCCTTGGATTCCTGTCCAGGGCTCTATTTTTAAAAGTAAATAAAAATTAAGAGTTGCTTACGTTTTTGAGAACCTCAGAGAAGGGTGGGGCGGGTCTTCCCAAGAGTCAGTCCCCACAAGAGGATGTAGAGTAACAAGCAAAGAGGGAAGCCCCGAGACAGAGTGCCGCCGGGGAAGCGGGGAGGGCGTCATCCATCCACCGTGTGGCCACCTCAGCCCCGACTCCTCGCCCCTTCTCCAGCCACACCCCAGGCCTCACTGACCAGCCTCAGACCCTTGCTATTCTGAGACCTGCACCCCCAGATCACTGTGCCCCCTCACCCAGCCCTGCCCCTCCTGAGCACCCCGAGGCCCCTACCCTAACCTCTCAGAGCCAGCAACCTGTCTGAGACCTCACAGCCAGGAGTAAGACACTCCAGAGCCTGTGGTGCAGAGGGAGTCGGGCAGTGAACTAGGCAGGAATTCTCCACCGGCAGGCGTGGAAGGGGAGGGTGGAGGGGTTGTGGGGTGGGCTCGCGGCAGACATCTCACAAGTCAGCTTCACAGAGCCTCAGTTTACCCCTGGCCTTTGGATGGCCTTCCAGACACAGCGTCGACTCCCCGCTCCACCAGCCCGTAAATACTGCTCCCCTCCCCAAGTCCCTCGCACCCACCCACCTGCTACACCCAACCAATCTTTGGGCCTGCAGTGCCCCCAGCCCCTGACTCTCGCACCCCTCTCTGCCTCAGTGTCCGCTTGCTGCAGGTGTCGGACCCTGCACACGCACCCAGACCCCAGGCATAGCTGATGCCCCGAGCTTGGCTGCCCCCTGGTTCCTGCCACATCTTTCCCTACCTCTGCTGGTCCCTCCGTCACAACACAGGCCCCTCCCGACCTTGCCTGGGCTGTTCCCTTGCCCCCACCTCCTGCATGCTCAGGCCGAACCCCCTCCATGCCTCCTGCACGAGGACCCTCCCAGGCCCCCATCCGACTCCAGCAGGGTACCTGTCAGGCTCCACACCCCCACCACGGTCAGCCACCCCTGCCATGGCCCTCGGGCATCTCAACACCCAACCGTCCAGTGTAGCCGCATCCAGCACACGCTCACTGCCCTCCACGTCCCCACCCTGGGGGTGGCCATGGTGACCCCTTTACCCTTCACCCCTCACAGCCCTGTCACAAAGTCCTGGGGTTCAGCTTCTCAGAACCTCTGAACGTGTCTCTGCCCGGTCCAGGCTGCACACCTAGGGTCTGTGGTCACCCAGATAATGCCTCCTTCCCTGTCCAGTGTCCCCTCACCAGGCACTAACCAGAGCCTGCTGGGCCACAGCAGCCTCAGTCTCCACATCTGCAGAATGGGATGGTGCACCCAGACGGGGGGCAGGGCTGTGGCTGGTCCACATTCTATGTAGTAGCACCCCCCACACAGTGGATGATGTCAGAGGTGGCACTGTGTGTGGCACAGGCCACTGGGAATCTGAAGGCCTGCGGCTCAGAGCCCTCTGCCCCCTGTGCTGGGTGAAAAGGTGGCCTGGCAAGTGCTGAGTTGGGTCAGGGAGTCCCCAGCCTCTGGAAACAGCTCCTTAGCAGACACACAGAGAAGAGTGTGGTGACCAGAGGAGCCAGGGCCCCGCCCTCCAGGCTGGGGCCACCTTTCCAGGCCTGGGGACCTGGGGGGCCCTGCTGGGTTTGCTGCCTGGTAAGTTACACAAGGATCTGGGCCTAAACTGGCAGCGTGTGTGTGTGTGTGTGGGTGCCCGCGTGTGCATGCATATGTATGTGTGTGCGTGCATGTGTGCGTGCGTGCATGTGTGCATGTATGTGTGTGCATGCGCGTATGTGTGCGTGTGCGTGCATGTATGTGCGTGTGCGTGCATGTGCGCGGGTGCATGCGTGCATGTGTGCATGCGTGCATGTGTGCGTGGATGTGCATGTATGTGTGCATGCATGTGCATGTGTGTATGCGTGTGTGCACATGTGTGTGCATGCGCATGCATGTGTATGTGTGTGCACACCGGTGCAAGTGCTTTTCTTGGCTCCCTCCTTGCCTGTGGGAATTCCCCGAACAGAGCGAGTGCCCAGCTCCCCTGGCACATGGTGGGGCCTCGAGGGATCTCCCTTCTGCTTTCCACCAGGAGCCCCTTCTGGCCACTTGGCAGGGGCCCAAGCCCAAGGATGGTGCCCTTGGCTGGGCTGCTGGGGTGGGTGCTGTGAGGCTGTGCTGCCACCCCCCACCTTCACCTTCACCTTCTGGGCCTCCCTATCTGTCTTGGGGAGTTGGATGCAGACACTGGACAGATGTCTGGGGACTCACGCAGAGACACCAGGGAGCCAGGGAAGACAGCAGGTATGTTACCTGTCCCAGATCGAGGGCGAGGACCTGGCCAGCCGGCCCTGCAGGACTCGGGGCTGCCCGAGGCACAAGGGCACCCAGGGGCTGCGCAGCCTGTGGGCAAAGAGGACAGAGCTGCTCAGAACAGGCAGGGGTGGGCAGGGCATCAGGGCATAGCTACAGCCCCTCGCCTGAGACCCAAAGATGGGGAGTTGGTCCCCACCCCCTGCCAGGAAAAGTCCTTGTAATCTACAAAGTGGCAGGGGTTGGGGGGATGGTGGTACCAGAGAAGGGCCCCAGCCTGTGCACCTGCCAGCCCCCTCTGCTCACTCTGAAGGGTCCCAGCTCAGCGGTGGCACCAAGTCCCACCGTGGCAAGGTCACTGGTCACTTGCTCCGTGCCTCTTGATCATCCTCTCCCACCACTGTGGGGAACGGCAGCAGCCCCTCAGGACAGTTGTTCCCTGCAGGGCGGCAGGCTGACCCTCAGCCCTGCCTCCACGTCGCAGCCTCCGAGGGGACCGACAGGACAAGCTCCCTGTTCCCACTAGCTCTGCGTCTGTCGGGTGAATGCCTGTTGCAGGCCTGGTTCCCGGCGTGCAGCATTGGCTGGTCAGGAGGAGGCCCTGATGGCTGATGTTGGGAATGTCCTGTAGGCTGCGGGGATCTGGTGGATGTTAGGGACCCGGGGTCCACTTCACCCTGCCCCTGCCTATGGCCTGTGTGGGCTGGACGGATGGGTGTGAGGAAGGACATGGGCCCACCGGAGCCCTGCTAGGGTGCTGGCCTGCCGCAGGACACAAGAAATATATCAAGGCCTCAGACAAGTGCCCACTTGGTTGTCCCCTTCCTGGGTGTTCTCTGGGACCAGCTGGTGGGCTCGCGGGGATGTCTGGGCAGCCCTACTGACCCTAGGCCAAGGTGGGAAATCTGACCTCTGCCTAGAGGGGCTGGTTCCATCAACAAAGGCTCTGATGCTGCCCCAGAAATTAGGCTTTCAAAAAGTACTTAAAGATATGGGCAGAGCTGGGCGCAGTGGCTCAAGCCTGTAATCCCAGCACTTTGGGAGGCCAAGGCGGGCGGATCACGAGGTCAAGAGATCGAGACCATCCTGGTCAACATGGTGAAACCCCGTCTCTACTAAAAATACAAAAAATGAGCTGGGCATGGTGGCGCGTGCCTGTAATCCCAGCTACTCAGGAGGCTGAGGCAGGAGAATTGCCTGAACCCAGGAGGCGGAGGTTGCAGTGAGCCGAGATCGTGCCATTGCACTCCAGCCTGGGTAACAAGAGCGAAACTCCGTCTCAAAAAAAAAAAAAAAAAAAAAGATACAGGCAGATGGGAGCGCTCCGAAATAGAGCTGTATAATCCCGTTTAAAAAATCGCTGCCTGTGGACAGCCGCAGGCAACTTGAGCAATGAACTGTTAGTGTTGTCAC